AGCTCCGTTGGCAAAACAGCACCTAGCACTTCCGCCAAAATGTTACCTGAAAAATAACAGTAGCCAGTGCGCAGCCACAACACAGCTCACCGGCAACGTCAACGTTTTCACTATCAGTCTGAGGCGCCCTTTTTGGTTATGTCCCACTATACCTTGTTACAAGCAGCCGAAACCACGTAAACACACACACACACACACACACACACACACACACACACACACACACACACACACACACACACACACATATATATATATATATATATATATATATATATATATATATATATATATATATATATATATATATACCAGTCAATATTGCTCAGGAATGTGTAGGGGAAGTTATTAAACCAATGTAATGTAAATAAGAAGAAAGAAAAGTGGGTGAAAAAATAACTTGCCTTGAGCAGGAATAAAACCTATGACCTTCGAATAACGCACTCGAAGGTCGTAGGCTCGATTCCTGCTCATGTCAAGTGTTTTTTCACCCACTTTTCCTTTTTCTTATATACATTACATTGGTTCAAAAAACACACCATATACATTCCTTGGCATTATTATCTGTCGGATCTCAAATATATATATTTATATATATACATATATACATATATATATATATGTGTGTGTGTGTGCGAAACACGCGCAAAACAGATGTGTAAATATTCATCAAATTAGGATATTGCGAAGCCAGGCATACAATGCTTTTATGATTGTTAAGCCGCCTTGAGCTGCTTGGTAATGAATACTGATAGTCTTGTGTGTTCTGACAATCGCCTCAGCCTCTAAGATCTCTATTAAAATAAGTGCACCAGCCCCTTACGTGGCCGGCACACTTATATTTAGCATTTCACAACCACAGGCATAACTTTTGCTGCTAGAGACAAGTAGGCAATAGTGCATTTGGCGATAGTGATCAAAAGATTGCATATCACCTTTTTTTTAAACGGAAACATTGTGGATACGGTTTGCGGAATTCTCGCTAGGTTCGCGGAAAGCATGTGGAAGGGATGGCGTTGGCCACGACGGTATTTCGCTGCTTTTTCATTGGCGGAAAGTGGCTATCGCTAAAGGAACGTTTTCCCAACAAAGTGGAACTTAAGATGCGCTCGGAAAGAGCCGTATTGATTCTTCATCTCTACGTGCGCCCACCAGCCCCCACCCCTCAGACCCTCGGTATTAGGTCAAGTGCCCCCCCCCCCCCCCCCAAAAAAAAAATGAACAGACCTATACAGAGCCACGACATCTATCTGGAAGCACTCACGAGAAGTCTGGGGATGTATTCTAGTCTTTCTTTAGGTGCCTTACGAATTCTAATGAAGCTAAGTGATAATTATCGCGCTATTCATGAAGGGTAAATAGTAATTTGATGAATATCGTTCTGCGTAAAAAAAGAAATTGTCCCAATGACCCAAGTAAAGAGTGTCCACAAGAGCCTCAACATGTATTTACATCGATGCTTTTCGGTATTTCAGCAGTTTGGCGAAGGAAAATTCTTGTGGTCTCCCACCTTGTCTTGGTCGTAGCGAAGGGTCAAGTGTCCAAAAAACGATGAACTAATTTCGTTTGTGGAGGGTGTGTATCGTTGGACTAAATATACTTGCCGGCGGCTTGTACAACTGGCATGAATGTCAAAGTAGGCTTTGAATCTATCGCATCTTTCCCTCACCCCAGGCTCCTTCCCAAATCGCGCAACTTTCTTTTTTTATACACTAGGCGCCACTATGGGAAATATCGCAAATGCGACTTTGATTATCACTTCCGGGAGACTTGGCGGATCGAGCTGGCTGATATTGCATCTGAACGCATCGCTCATGCAGAATTCAGAATTGGGGTGTCCTGTACGTGTTATGAGACCATGGATCTTCCCATATATAAGATGCCAGGTGTTTTCCGAAAGGCAGTAGCTCACCTCGTTCCTGGAAGCCATGAGGATTCTGGTGAGTACAGTGTGAGCGGATTCTTCCAGACTTCTGCAGAAAATATTTTGTTTGAGTGTGGGCCCTAGGTGGACATTATTCCATGATATAGAGTCGGAGGTGATACGGAGTGTACCCTGCACTGTGCACATTACACATTTTTCCAGAAGAGAACCATTGCCGTATTATACCTTTGCGCGGTAACCATGTATGCATTTTTAAGAAATAAATCCTAACTTGCGTATGCTACCGGCAGCACTGCTGTAGTCCTCCAGCAATGGTGCAGGATAGCGGGTTAAATCAAAAAATAGTGTGTATATTTAACACCACTTCTCAACTGAAATTGATAATGCGTGTTTACGTCAGTAACCAGACACAAGAAAGGTCACAGAGCTCCCGATTGAACAAATGTGCATAGCAGACTGATCGAAATTGGCAAGGTGCTTCCTAATGATTTACGTTTACTGACAAGAAAACGAGATATATTTCGCAAACTGCAACAGCACATCAATTTGAAAAAAAAAGTTATTGTAAATATACCACGACTGAGTACATTGAAATAAGACCGTGTTAATATTGAACTTCTTGCGTAAATAAAGCGGCTGTAAAGATGAGGTATGATTGATTTGAAAATACTCGTCCTATTAGACGATATGAGTAGAGCTTTCTCATATGCAGGCGCTAACATGATAATTAAGACATGGATATCATGTACGGCGTCATTTACGTCCGCATCGTAACATTGTTCTGATTTTAAACTGACATATCAACCTCCCTCAATCGTGTTTCGCAAATAATCAATTCCTACTGTACGTGGTATCTGCCAACTCTAATAATAATAATAATAATAATAATAATAATAATAATAATAATAATAATAATAATAATAATAATAATAATAATAATAATAATAATAATAATAATAATAATAATAATAATAATAATAATAACAATAATAAAAATAATAATAATGTTCATTTCATGTGCCCAGGAATAAATGCGAGGTCTTTGTACTGTGGCACGAAAAACAAACACAAACAAAGGCTAAAATTCTTAATAAAATATCAGGGATAACAACGTTATAGAATTGCACATATACGACTATACGCAGGAAGAAAAAAATGTCAACACTGTACGTGGCTATGCAATTACAGTGCAAAGCTAAGATTATTATTATTATTATTATTATTATTATTATTATATTATTATTATTATTATTATTATTATTATTATTATTATTATTATTATTATTATTATTATTATTATATTATTATTATTATTATTATTATTTGGTTTCATTGCTAATCGCAGTACTATAACACTATTAGAAGAGTTTAGTGATGAAATATATTCGGCTTTAGACAAGAACCTATCCTGTTGTGTTCTATTTTTAGACTTGGCAAAAGCGTTTGAAACAGTGAACAATACAATTTTGTTAGAAAAGCTATTTCGTTTGGGCTTTAGGGGGCCTTTTTATGATGTGCTCTATAATGACTTATAAGACACGTAACAGGTCGTTATGAGATGTAGGGAGCTAATTGGTAATAGAAAATACATTACTGCTGGTGTGCCACAATGATCGGTGTTGTCACCTTTGCTATTTAGTTTATTTATGAATGACTTCCCCTTGGGAATTCGTAAAGCCATTGTGTACCTGTATGCAGATGATACGGTACTATTAACACGTCACATACATTATGAAGGTTGATTGATTGATATATGGGGTTTAACGTCCGAAAACCACCATATGATTATGAGAGACGCCGTAGAGGAGGGCTGCGGAAATTTTGACCACCTGGGGTTCTTTAACGTGCGCCCAAATTTGAGCACACGGGCCTACAACGTTTCCGCCTCCATATACGTTATGAAGGGGCGATTAATGCTCTTCAGAGTGAAATTCATGATGCTATGATATGGTTTAAATAAAACTCCGTAATTGTAAACGAAAAGAAAAAGAAAACTTATCTGCTTTCGAAGTCCTCTAAAAACACAAAAAATGACTATACAAATTTTTATTCACACCGAACATTGTAATCCATGCATATGTTCTGCAGTGGAAAATGTCGAAACATTTAGATACTTAGGCGTAATTTTTCATAGTGGTATGTCTTGGCAACATCATATGGCATGTATTTGTTCTAAACTGAGAAGTGTGGCATGCCTGCTTTTCAATATAAAAAGCTTGGTGCCTCTACCAATGAAAAAAATGATAGTTCAATCGTTAGCATATAGAGCAGTGAGATATGGGATAACAGTTTTTGCATTTTGCACAGAACACTGGAAAACACGCATTGATAGTTTACTTCGAAATATTTCAAAAAGTGTAGCTTACGGTAGTGAGATAGATGTCAGTACTATTTTTCGGGATTTGGGCTTTTGTGTATTCCAGGATTTGTTTATTAAGACAGTTGTTCGAAGATATAATTGGTGTGATGACTTTAAAGTGTCATGTGTAACGCGTCGATCGCTGAGAAAAAAAAACGTTTTTATAGTGCCCCGGTTGTCTACCAGATATGGAGAAGCAGGTAGAAGTGTATATATTCCGAAAATTTTCAATGCACTACCTGACGAATTTTTTTCAGCGAGTTCAAAAAGGCAAATAAAGAAATTGCTCGCCGAGCTGTAAAATCACATGGTCTATTTGTATGCCACGTATGCTCTGTGTCCCTCCTTTGTTACTCTTTTTTTATTTACTGCCTGTAAAAAGTAATGGTGTTAATCGTTTGTCTGTTCGTTGGTAAGGAAACAACAATAGTTTTGTTACCTGGTATCTACATCGCTGTAACCGGCTCTGCCGGGCGTAGTCGCACAAGTCCTGGGGACTTAGGCCCGTTTCTTTGTATTTCTTATGAATGTGTACAATAAATCATCATCTATATTATTATTGTTATTATTATTATTATTATTATATCAGGAATATTCAGGACCGCAATGTTCCATCGGTTCGGGCTTGTGGGATAGCCTTGATAATATGTGGGGTTTAACGTCTCAAAACCACCATATTATTATGAGAGACGCAGTGGAGTCATCTGTGCTTCGCGCCTTATGGTGGTTGTTCAATGGAAGGTGCTTCACATCCAGGTGGTCGCCGTTGTTATTCTTGGCCTGCTGGCCACTGCATGGGCCGGGAACCTGGCTTTGGCAGGTGGACTTGGTGGTCTAGGCAGTGGTGGAGTGCTCCTCAGTGCAGTCCCGGCCGTCGGACTGGGGGGTGTCGGCGTAGGCAGCTCTGTAGCTCTATTGAGTGGCGGACCAGGCTTCACTAAGTCTGTGGCGGGACCGGCTTTCTTGGTCAGGACGGTGCACCACGTCAGTAAGATTAACGGCGGAGGTGCTGTCGTAGCCCACAGTGGCCTTGGAGGTGGTGGTGGTCTCGGAGGTGGTGGTGGCCTCGGAGGTGGTGCTGGCCTCGGAGGACTTGGTGGTCTCGGAGGTCTTGGTGGCCATGGAGGCTACGGAGGTTACGGCAGCTACGGAAGCTACAAAGCCTACGTCCTTAAGGGCTGATAAAAAAACGTGCAGTCAATTACTGCCGCTTTGTAGATCCGGTAAGCTCCACATTACAAATCTTCGGAATGATCTTTATAACACAGTGCACAGATAGTCCAAGTTTTAAAAAATATTTTCAGTTTCGAGACACTTAAATATCAGCGAATGCTAAACAAACCATGACAACAGAACTTACAAACAAAATGCTGGTAGAATCGTGAGGAGCTGAATAAACATTAGAGATTTTCACTGCAGCTACATATTACAATGAACTTTATTATTATATTAAGAATCACATTTGAAGTGAAGGCACCTAGGCCGTATTTGCGCTTACAAGCTTCCATTCTGAAATTTTTCGCTTGTTCTACATTTCAGGTGTTGCCCCACGTGTACGACCTACTGGCAGCTTCTACCTCAGTCATAATAGATTCTTAATGCCAAGAATCCAACTCGGCAGTCCTCAAGCAGCTTCAGCAACGTGCACAAAACATCATCAATAAAACCATGCCAAAAAAAAAAAAAGACTGAGGCGTGTCTTCCCCAGCCATAACGTTCCGCTATTACTAAGAAAACATCAACATTATGCCACCTTGCATGTTTATAGCAGCATTGCTGTAGCTATAGGTGCAGGGCGACAATGTAGCGTCTTTATTTAACTTCAAAACAGTGCTCTTTTGCTGTAAAGTTTTGATCTGCTTCGCTTCATCACAGGTATTACCATGAACTTTTCAACATGATTGAGAGCCGTATTCTCTAGTTTAATAGTACTCTTAATTTTGACAACTAATTAAAAAGCTTCTCCTTCTAAGTTGTGATGTTTTATGCCATTTTATAGTTGGTTGCTAAATTACTGTTTTGACACCCTTGAGGACAACTCAGACCTATTCGAAGGATATGTGCCTGTGTTCATAGCAACACGTTATACTGGACGTTTTTGTGGCCATATATTTCAGTAAATAGTGATGAAGGCTATATCATTATCAGAGGTGACCAGCGAATGATAGACTGAACATATGGAAGAATAGCTTGGTGAACCCAATCTCAGTAAATTACCCCCATTATTATTTACAAATTTATCTGTACAAAACGACGACTCCTGAGCAGCTTTTTCCTACCCTTCGATGAATCCGACACATGCATACCATCATTTACCCTCCTACCATCGGCCACTGCAGAGGTGCCGCTCTAAATGAGGCTTACTCGAGTAATTTACCCGCATTGCGTGCTGTCATCCTTAAGGATTCCATCAACGCTCTTGCTTAGGTGACTACCGGGAAATCACGTGTATTGTCCAATTGTGCATAGCTTCAAGTCTGCCGGCAAAATTCGTTTTCATAGGGCGTCATTCATCTTCGAGTGATGACCAAGAAGAAAGAGGTTTATCAAATTGCTTCCACTTCTGTTGTTTAACGAACGCGTTCAGCAACACATTTTGTTGAACCTTGATAATGTTTGAATGACAATCGCTGTTGTTTGGCCTTGTTGCGACAACGACTCAGAGAAGAAATCACCTCAAGCGCTACAGTACCTATGTTGTATTTTCCTGTGTGTCATTGCACTTCGAACCGCTTTGCTTCATGAATATTTGCCTCTTCAGTCGTAATTACCATGTGAAGCATAATCCAAGCTACATGTTTGAAATGAATACTTTACTGCATGTGTTAGCAATGGGGACTTGTTTTGTTGTATTTGAGCTCTAAGACTAAAGCTAAAAGGGTTGCGTCAATCTTGACATGCGACAATATGCGCTGACACGAACGCGCTAGCATTGAGTCGTGTGTGTACACTGTACTGCGATTCTTACGAGGTGCCTGAGCCTATTATAAAAGAGTTTTTTCCTCCTCTTCACCGTGCTTCGCTAGTAGAAAAATAATGTATGCTCAGCTGGCGGTTTAGGACCCAGAATAATATCGTGCATAGGGCCATTGTAGTTCTTCATGGAAGCCTGCTAACTGAGTTCAATATGCTTTACCTCAAGAAACCCTCTTTTCTCCCCGTTTCGATAACTTCGTGCATTTTTTTGTATCTGTGCTTCTTTTGATTTTCCTGGTACCTATTACTCTGAATTGATTTACTCTTTCTTCGTGGCATATGCATTGCAATTCACCCCCATTGAAATGTAGTACTCGTATTTATAATCTCAACTAACACTTTGATAATGTTACGTCTTCGTAGAATGATAAATGATAATTTAATACAGCATTCAGATCATAATGTGGCTTTTTCAACGCTCGAATGTGAACTTCAGGAATAGGCAAGCTGTTCATATAGAGATAATATATCACCTCTTGATGGTAGCTGTATTTCGTTGGCTCTTCCAATGAACTCTGTGCTCAAGCGAACCTTACGTGCATGACAAAAAGAAACTTGTTCTTTCAGAATTAGACAAAACACTGAAAGTCTTGGAATATTTATACCGGCATGCATTACTGACATTGATTGATATGCGAGGTTTCACGTCCCAAAACTACCATGTAATTATGAGAGACGCCGTAGTGGAGGGCACCGGAAATGTCGACCACCCGGGGTTCTTTAACGTGCACCCAAATCTGAGCACAGGGATCTACAGCATTTTCGCCTCCATTGAAAATGCAGCCACCACAGCCGGGATTCGATACTGCGACAGCCAAGTACCTTATTCACTATAACACCATGGTGGATCTGCAATGATGAGATTCTACTATCCGTTCATGCGATCAATTTCCATGTGCGGAAAGGGCAAAATGAAAGGGATAGAAAATATTCCAGCATCTCCACGGAGTGGATGATGGTTAGGTGGGCGAAGCTCGGGAGGTTTTTCGGTGGTACCGTGAATGCTCCGAAGAGCAGCATCTGGGTCTGCCCGGCACCGCGCGCGCTTCGCCACCACTTCCCGCTCTCACATTGAGGAGTCCACTTTTCGTTGAGATCGTTTTGTAGTGGCATTATTGGCCCGAACCTACACCAGGTCCGCTTCTCGTTGCGCATGTTTCACACTGGCATCCTTGCCGCCTGCACTCTTGGGATTCGCCCGGCGCTGCACTCGCTTGGCGGCAGCCTCTAGAGCCATTAAGCGCGACCCTACATGTACGGCGACAATCGAGGAGAATGAGAGATAACGGGCGCACCAGAGAAGATCCTCGCAGCCCGCGCAGCAGCCAATCGGACAGCAGCGACACCTCCAAGAACATCTAGCACGGAGGAAGGAAAGGTAGGAGAGGCCCTGACGTCACTCGTTGTGAAGCCGCGATGAAGCCGAAAGTTGGTCATATGACCATGCGAATTCTTCTCTCTTGTTTACATCCGAATGTAAAGCACAGGGCACGACTCTCTCTCCGGCTTGGAAAGCACGTGAGCTGTGCAGCGCGCGTGTCGTGACGATCCGAAACTAATGGAACGGGGCTCAACACTCTGAACCAGCGCAACACCTTCGGCGGAATCACTTCGTCCGAGTATTAACAGCTAGTAACAGCTCACCGACAACGAAGCAAATACAAGAAAACGCGCGCTAGATGCACTGACAACGGCGAGTGTTTTCACGTCATTATTCCAGCAACTGTACAGACAACTTGATCAGTCGTGCGCCTTCTACAGTTGCATTCCGCTATGCGGACGACGCAGCGTCCGACCACTTTGTCCGTGTTCCGCTTGAAACTCACCGGCGTCAGCATTCTGCAGCCGTGGTGACTTTGAGCAAGGTGCAAGTGACACTTGAATGCGGTTGCTGTTACGTTGAGATTACATGCAATTCTGTGTGAAGAGTATACGAAGCGGAACAGAAAACGTGTTTTATTACGCACATGCAGGTTGTTACTGTACACACACAACACGAAACTACATATGTGCACATGGTCCTCATTGCGTCTTGCTAGGGTCAACGGCTTTGTACGTTGTCACAAGCAGGAGCACTGCCCAACCGTCACTGACCTGCGAGGCGTTTGTCGTCGTTGCGCTACGTCATTGTGCCCAATGCAATTTCGCTGAAGACTAATTGCTTCATGTGCGTCATCTGCCGCACGACACATGGATATGCACTCGTTCTACGCACTGTTGAAACCCCATGATGGACAAAAGAATTTGTGAACGTTGCTAAGAGTACAATAGCAGCCAGGAGAGCACTGCGCAACCAATAACATGGCGCAGAGCGCGGATATTGTCCGCTACGGCTCAGCATGATACCTGGGGAAGCACACATGCCACCGCCAGCCGCAGCTGCTCCCTGCTAGACAAGCTCCACTGCGTAACGCGTAGCCATAGTAACGCCGCCATTGTGCCCAGTGAATGTGGCCACCATGACGTCATTTCCTCCACACTTTTCACGTAGCGCGCCGGCTGGGCATGCCCTCTGCTACCTTTCCTTCCTCCGCAACATCTAGTTTTCATTAACTTAACCACCGTATTGCGCACTTCGCCATGGGACAGCGCCAGCTAGAAAACTAGACGAGAAATGGCAATGACGACATAAAATGCGTACAGCGCCATCTAGTATATCGTGACCAAACGGCAGTTTGCATGCATCTCTATGGGCCGCACCATCTATTACATGATGAGGCAGGCGCTAATGGGTATGCTGGAGGCACGAAAAATCGCCATAGACTTTGAGGAGCTTCGCCCCTAGAAACAAAAAGAGAGGGGCAGGGTGATTAACCAAGCTGGGCTTCGTTGGCTAATTAGGCGGTACGCAGAGGCAAGTGCCTGGAAATTCGTGTCCGGCGTCAGTGTCCGTGAGTCCCTCGTCAGTCTCTCGTCTAAGGAGTGAATCATTTTACTTCCAGTGTTCACTTCCAATATTTAAGACATTGTATACATGGATTACCTTTTTTATTTTCTAGCAGTTATTGGCTACATATTGAGCCTAGGCATCTTCAACAGAGAGAAGACAGTAGTGTGCAAAAATATGAACCAACGAGTAATTCAGTAGGTGTTATAGTACTGCTTTCTGCCATAACTAACTTGAGCTACCAGACATCAGCTATGTATCCTTTGCTGAGTGATATAATATTTTCATTTTCGCATATCTTGCAGCTGCGAGCCAGATCCTGAAGAAAATTAACTATAATGACTACATACTAGGCGAGACTTGTATAGATTCATGGCGATACTTAGCGCACAAAAAACAGGACGCAGCGAAGACGACACGAGAATAGCCATGTGGTATTTGTCAGAGGCTGAGTGACTGAGTATGCATACGTTTTGGAGAAACTTGTAAGATAACTTTTGGTACTATTTATCTGTAATTTTCACTTTTGGTGATGAAAACAATTGATTAAGAGTTTTCACGCATGTCATATCTGATATTTTTTTGTTCTTGGTCGGTCACGTGAGAACAAGGCCTTTAGCTGTTGTGTTGTACCGTGAGTGCCAACTATAAAGGTTGGTGTACACCGGCGACTAGCAGCGGTCGCGCGACCATTTACGACTGGTCGCAAATAGTCGCAAACGGTCGCAAACGGTCGCAAAACGACTGCTTTGGCTAATCGCTTCTTGACCGATTTTTCAGTCGCGCGACTGCGGACGCAAAGCTACCGGAACCAATCAGCGATGCTCAATTTTCGTTGTTTTTTTTTTTTTCATTGCGCTGGCGACAACGGATAAAAACAAGAACTGCGGTGCGCTTGGTTTGCTCCGCTCACTCAGCTGGCGGCGATCAGCTGATTGGCGCCGGTCTCCGGAGTTTTGCTGATAGCGAGATCCGGACGTGACTCTCCGCTATTGCGACTTCCGGCAGCTCGCATGCAGCCTCTGCCGGTGTGAACATCAGTCGCTTTTTGGTCGCCAGTCGCAAATGGTCGTGCGACCGCTGCTAGTCACCGGTGTGCACCAGTC